ATCTAGGAATCTGTATTGTTTTCAATTTGTTTTAACTGTTGCAAGTCACCTTGGGACCTAAACTGGAAAGAAGCTGATATTTAAATACCACTACTACCACTACTACCACTACCACTACTAAGTAGTCCCATCCAACACTCTTATGACCAGACATCATCCTTTTCCCAGACATGTCCTACATTTCAATCTCCTGGCAGGAGGAATATCAAAATGTCCTTAAATAATTAAACATTTTAATTATTGCAATTCTTCCCAGCCATGAAAGATTTAACTGATCCCATTTCTTTAAATTCCCTTTAATTTCTTGCCAAGTTTTTAAATAGTTATTTTTATACAGATCCGAATTGTTTTTGGTTAGCCAAATCCCCAGATATTTTATTTTCTATTTTAAATTCTGTTATTTTCTTTAATTTTTCAGTTTCCTTTTTAGAAATATTCAAGAGCATCATAATAGATTTATTTTTATTAATACAGTATCCTGATACTTTACTATATTCAATCAAGCAGGATGTAACCTCCTCCATACAGTCTTCCGGATTTACAATTGTCAGAACCAGGTCGTCAGCATAGGCTCTCAGCTTATAGCTTTGCTTGCGACTTTCTATTCCCTTAATTTCTTTATTATTTCTAATTTTTATAAGGAGAATTTCCAGTGTCAGTATAAACAATAATGGAGCCAGTGGGCATCCTTGACGCACTCCTTTTTGTAATTCAAATTTTTGTGTCCTCTCCCCATTGACTAATATATAGGCTTCTTGATGTGAGTATATTCTCTGTACCCATTTTAGAAAGATTTCTCCAACTTCTAATTTTTTAACTCAGCGATCATGAAATTCCAATTAATATTGTCAAAGGCTTTCTCTGCATCCAGAAAGATTAAAGCCAATTTTTTGTATATATATTTTTTGATAGTAGTCAATTATATTTAATAAATTCTTAAAATTTTGTTTTGTCTGGATGGGAGAAAACCGTTTTGGTCATTATGTATCAAATTTCCTAAGATTTCTTTAAGCCTTTTTGCCAGTATATCCGCCATCAATTTATAGTCGGTATTTAATATTGAGATTGGTCTGTAATTATTAGGGTCTAATTTATCTTTATCTCATTTTAGAATTAATGTGATATTTGCGGAATTCCATGATGGCGGTATCCGACCGTCAATAATATTATTCATGGATGTCAATAACGGCGGTGTCAGTTGAGGGGCAAATGTTTTATAATATTCGTTTGTAAAGCCATCTGGACCTGGGGATTTAGACGATTTAGACTGCCTAATAGCCTCCACCAATTCCCTATATGAAATGGGTTGATTCAGCAAATCTTGTTGTTCTTTCGTTAACTTGGGAATATCTATATTATCTAGATAAGCATCAATTTCTGTTTCTTGTGGAGGATTGACCTTGTATATATTCCGAAAATGATCCAAATTTTTTTTTCTTAATTTGAGCTTGTGTTGATATAATTTTAGCCCCTTTTCAAATCTGATTGTTCTTTTGGCTTTCTCTTTCCTTACCATATAGGCTAATAATTTCTCAGGTTTATTTCCAAATTTGTAATACCTTTGTTTAATAAAATTAATTTTCTTCTCGATCTGCTCCATGTTTAAAATAGAAATTTGATTTTGAATATATTTTATTTTTTCTCAAATTTCCTGGGATCTTGGTTCATCCTTTAATTTCCAACTTTACCAATTCATTTTCTAACCTCTTCTCTTGCTGTTTTTTTTTCCTTATTCCATTCTGACGTTTTTTTGTATAATTCCTCTAATTACCGCTTTATGAGCATCCCATACAGTATGTATGGGAGTATCTTTATTTAAATTTTCTTGAAAATAATATGAAATTTGTTTCTTAATCTCTTCACATATCTTATTGTTTTTCAGAATGGCCGAATTTATGACCCTGAATGTACCCTATCTGTGTAGCAGCCGTGAGCTCCCTGATACCTGGTCATGTAGACATGAGCCGCCATGAACTTTAAGCCTAGAGACCACGTAGGCAGTTTGGGAGTTGCAATTAAGGGGAATTCACATTCCAGGAAGGCTGGGTGATTTACAGCCAGGATATTTTGCATCCCTGCTGGAGAATGCCAATTTACACCCCCCCCTTCACAGACCTCTATCTCAGTAATCTTTCCTATGCAGATTTAGCCCTTTGATGTAGAGACATGGTCTTTGCCCGAAGCTAGGTTTAACCTTATAAAAGATTCCCAAATTCATTTGTTCAACATGCTCACATGGAGTGCAGAGGGACCCCATGTCTCTCTGGATTCCTTCTAGTTCCAACTCGCGCTGCCTCCGAGCGCTTCGAAAAGCAGCATAGTCCTACATCCCTGTCATGAGATCGTATCTTCAAGGAGCCATCATGCTGATGGTAATTATCCCTTCAGTGAAGCCTTTCCCACCCCAAATCTCACCTCTTTATTCCTTAGCTCTTGTGTGTGTGTGTGCTTGCATTGCTGTGTTTTCCCCTAATAAAATACAATTCATATAGATAATTCTGCCTCTGTAATCTTTGTCTCTATATCTTGGTATACAGGTGGGAAACGATTCCAAAGAGCTGTTTGTATCTCAGACCATTAATTAACTGAGCTAATTAAAATTTCCCTCGAGAGTTCATAGCTACATAGATGTAAAAACACCATATGAAATAAAATTATATTTCTATTTATGTTTTTAGCTTTTATTTTGGAATGTCCTATGTCTTTCTTGAATGTCCTACATGTTGTAGTGACTTGTTTTCTTTGCAGTTATAATGTCTGGTCACACTGCTGATGACTACACCATGGCTCTTAAAGTTTGTATCTTCTAACACATGGGTTCAACTTGCAATGAACCATCAGGATTCCTAAACAACCAGAAGCTCTGAGGGATTACTAGGATCTATCTATCTATCTATCTATCTATCTATCTATCTATCTATCTATCTATCTATCTATCTATCGCCTCAAATGTCCACATGCCGTGTGTTCCACAGAATGGGCTTGGGGGCAATAGAGGATTTTTCTTTCTGCAGGAGTAGATGCAGGCCTGCAAGGTCTCCTGGAGGACTAATGTAGCCCACCAAGGCCTTGTGTAGTTTGGCCACAAGGCCTCTCTCTCTCTCTCTCCCCTCCTCCGTGTCTTCCTGTCCCACACCTTGGTTCTGGTGTGAACAGTGTGGATGATGTCTGGCATGTTATGCACCAGAACTGGGGTATTACAACCTTAAAATGCCTATCTGTTGCTCTAGATCTTCCAAGAAGATCCAGAGCCCTTGGTAGATGTCTGCATGGATGTCCCACTGACCTGCCCGGTGCATATGCTGTCTTATGCTCATCACTGGACACCTCACTCTGACCTCAGAAATGAGTGGTAGGCCCTGTAGCATGTCCCCTTCCCCTTCTGTACAGTTCTCATGAGCTTTGGAAAGGCTCTGGGTGGTGGTGGGACTAGAGGAGTTTCACTCTGGTTGCTTCCTTGACAATATAAGCCAGTCCTTGGGATTCTCAGCCTCAGTTCTCCACTAGACTGCTGAGGAGGAGATGCATAAATGAAGACAATTGTATTTTTTGTTAGATTTTATTGAATGTCACTCACAGATAACTACAGAAAAAATATTATCCATATAACAAAAATAATTGTACTGGACAGAAACATAGGACTTGTGTGTACAATAGTTGCATTTCTCATTACGCAACATGCAGCATTCCCATAATCTGCCTTTGGATTTTTGTTTTCTAACTTGATACTAATGAAATAAAAGTTACAAAGCTCTTTCAACAAGAAACAACAGGGAAATGTGTATAGATGTGACAGCTAAAATGACTTTGCTCCACTACTGAAAGAAAGAAACACTGACTGGTATCAGTTATGCCATAGGAGGGCCAATTCAGTTTGTTCAATCTCCCTACAAAAAGTTTTGTCAACTGTATGGTTGGCTTTACTATATCAATGAGAATAAGTTATTAAGAGTAGTATATAATATTCATATTTCCCAATTGTCAAGTCTAAAAAAAATCCTCACAGTTTCTAGCTACCATTTCTATAGTAAATTATTAATGCCTGACTTAATTGCCAAAATGGACATTTTTATTTGAAAGCATCATTTTTACTATAACCATAAAGCACAATGAAATAGAAGGACATAATTGTTAAGAGCATTGTGCTTAGCTTTTCAAATAAGGCATATTAATTAACATTTTAAACATCTGTATGTTTTTGTTATAGTTATGTAACTAAAAAACCTTTTAATAGGTTATTTCCATACAGACATAGACGTTAGATACACTTAAATTGTTTTAGCACTATTGTACAAAAGCTGCTAGCATGAGAAATATATACTGCTTTCAGACAGGACAGTGCAACTTACAAAACTTCAAAAGAATGAAAGAACCAATGATTACATATACACTTCTCTATTCAGTTCCACCCGCCTTGCTAAAATGCCAAAATATGTGGAAACCTATTTGGTACACCTATACAATGACTGAAGTTTTTAAAAGTACCGTATTTTCCGGCGTATAAGACGACTGGGCGTATA